TCAGTCAACCACAACACCTTACGCCCTACCAGGCGTGGCCCTACCAGGCCATCCATGTAATAATGTCTCAACATGCGAACTACCGCCTCGAGCTCGCGCCATGTAGAGCTCTCCGTCATCTCAGCCTCCGACCACGTACCTATGACCTCACTGTCGTTTACCTGTAGCACATATCCACCGTACCCTGTGCCTGATGCATCACTGTAAATTGATACGTCATGGGTATTGTCTCTGATGTGGAATGGCCTCCCGTTTAGCACTCTAACATTTCCTGCCCAGAACCTTAGCTCGTCTAGTGCTTCCTTGTTAATAAATATAAAAGAATCCCATCCTGCCCGTGTCAGTATGCATGCATACATATACCTGGTCATGAGACGCACAACGGTCCCAAAGGCAACGCCCATAGAAATTACCTGACCTACTACCCCTGCTAGGACTCGAGCTGGTACACCTAACCTCCCAACCGACACAGAATCTAAAACTGCCTTCACCGACGTCTCAAACCTTACTAACCTTTTTTCTGAAATATACACCATACCCTCTGTCATATTCCATCGCAACCCTAGCCATGTAACCTCCTGGGTTGGTTCCCATTCACACTTGTTCTCCGCTATCAAAAACCCGAACCTGCCTAAATCTTTATGTACCTGCCTACTAAGCTCTACTGCACGTGTCTTATTCCTGTGACCCCCAATTCCGTCATCGAGATACATGATGACCCTGTGACCTCCAGCTCGCCAGTACTTCACGAGCTCCCTAGTAACTTTCGAAAATATGTACCCGGCCGTGGACAGTCCAAACGGTAATACCTTGAAAACGAAATACCTCAATTTTCCATCAAAATTCCATGCAAAACCAAGGTAGGTTTGGTGATCTGGAAAAATTTCTATGTGGTGATATGCAGATTTTAAATCGAATGTGAATAGGAAATCTCCTTTACCAAACATGTCCAACGCAACCGAAGAATCCTCGTATCGGAATGCAAATTTATATAAAAAAGGGTTTATATGCCTGCAATCTAGCACCAAACGTAACTTCTCTTTATTTCCCGCTACTGTCAGTGGATTTATAACCGCCGGTTTTACAAACACCTCCCGAATACAACCCTTCGAAAGCAGACTGCCTATTTCCTCCCTCACAAAACCACTGTTCTCTATTGATGACCTATTGTTTCTCAAAAAAACGTCGCTAGGCAAACAATGAAACGGTAATTTATATCCCGACCTTATTATATCTAATACGACCGGACATGCACCAATGCTTTCCCATTCATCGATTACACCTCTCAACATTCCTAATGGTGACCTAACCTGTGAACTCTGAACCCCTACTGAACTTAAATTGCTCTTGTCGGTACGACTACTCTGTAACAGTAATTGACATGCATGTTCAACCTCGTTATCAATTTCATCATCGTAAGCTATGTTTCTACTTATCTTATTTTCCTGCACTTGTGACGCCTGCATCTTGAAACATTCCGCCCTCCAGTGTCCTGGTTTCCCGCAGCTGAAACAGAGTCCGGGTCTCTGGTTAGGAGGGGGCGTGGCTTTCGACACTGGGACATCCCGTTGCTCCGACACGTGTTGCCGTGGGGCTCCATAAGGGTAAACACGTCTGCCTCTGAATAACCTCTGGGTCCTGGCCTTACGCTGAGCTCTGTTTTCTGCCCGAATGATGCGCTTTTCGTCCTCCGAATCGGAAGCTAGGGTGTTAGTTTCGTATTCCTCGACAACCCGCCAACCTGTTTCAGATGAATCGGCCAATTTAATAAGTTTTTGCCTGTGAACTAACAGCTCCATACCTTCTACAATTTTTTCCGAAGCTCTCTGTGTGTATGTATTTGAGGCAGGATTATCTTGCAGAGCGGACTGGCCTTCCTTCAGCTTCAACACCACCTTGGAATTAATCCTATACTGTTCCTCGTTCCCCTTACGCTTGAATTTATGAGTGTCCGAGGTCATTTCAGCTATTTTTGATAACTGAGTTTCCGAAAAATCCCTCTGACTTTCCTGGAGCTCTTGTCGTAGGCAATTGAATTTGGAAGACAACATCACTTCCAACTGTGACAGCATATCGCTTTGCTGCGAAATATTTGGTCCTCGTTGAGCCGGCTCCATAACTATAGCAGTCAACTCTTTGGAAGTCCGCGGCTAGAATGAATACCCGATATACCCCTCACGTGCGCGTCGGTACCCTAGTACTCCACGTGGCACGCCAATCATTCTCCTGATTGGTCAGGTACTATACACTGCCTTGCACGCCTTGCGTACATATGTACGTACCGAAACTATAGGATAGCAAATTTCCGGATTCTCCGAAACGCGGAAATTTTTTAATTATAAACGAAGTAAACATCATTATCGGATTAACTTGGCCTACCCGTCCGAAACCGCGTGCTAGACACGTTTTAATAGCCATCTGTTGTTTGTTTATTATATATTGATAGATCGGTAGGTATATAAACATCTTAGAAGCCCTGCATACCCAAAAGTGAATTATGTAGTCGTTTCGGCCGATATTCCTTGGCTTGCACGCGCACACGTTGTCGAGGGTTTTTAACTGTTTTTGTAGCAATGTTACACTCTCGATATCGTTTGAACAATAAAAAACGTGTATGTGTTCCAATTTTTTACGACACATTTCCTCTGTCACAAAACTCCGATGAACTTTATCACGCAATGACGAAACCACGGAAACGAAACGAGCTATCGCGATCGGTAAAAAGGACCATTGAAAGCGGAGGCTGTCCAGATCCGTAGCTCTTCGCAATATTGTGCACTGGACTTTTTTTTTTAAATAAAAAGAAAAATGTGTTGTATTGAGTGATACACTGATAAAGATAATGTGTTTGCGAATTTAAATGAAAAATGAAGCGTTGAAAGACTTTATAGTGACTTCATTAAAATTGTTACAAATACTGAGTAAATTTATGTGAAATAGTTGCAAAATTAACGTTAAATTCCAATTGAACTTAAAATGGATTGTTTGTTTCCTTTTATTCAATGTTTACAATAGTAAATATATATGTATATTATGATATAAACTAAGGAATATATACATAATTATTCTTCTGTCAATTCAGCAATTTTGTCTTTTTTACATGCATTTCATTAAATTCAACATTTCAGTTTATTATAATTAGTTAATATTGTTGAATAATATACATGTACATTACTTAATGATATATATACTCTTTATTTTAAACAGAGTTATGGTTCTTTGTGGTCAATCTGATCCACCTTACTATTAAGACCACCTCGCTATTAAGACCACTTTTGTCCAGTCCCCAAAGTGGTCTTAATAGCGAGGTTTCACTGTATGTCTTCGTGGTGTATACCAAAGAATGTGGATAAGTTAATAGTCCGGTTGTTCTGTATTACAAGCTGGAGAAGACGGACGATGCGACAAATCAGCTTCTCTTAAACGGGAAGGCAATTTGAAATGAAATCGGCTTGTTCATATACGCAAACTAATTTTATCGTCAGATGTTAAAAATCATTGTAGATGGTACATTTTCATGATGATTTTGACTTTCTTAGTGTCCTTTAAAAATGGGCGTCTCCACGTAAATACAAAATGTAGCTGATTTACTGCATGGTTTTGGTTTACAACAATGCAGAAGAAGATGAACTATTTTGAGTAGCAATTCATTCCAAAACATTTTTCTAGTTTTATTACTTATTCTCAACGTTTCTTCACAAGTGGTATTTCTTGGAAAAAGGCAATTAATCATGAATTTTCACGGGAAAGAGGACATGCACGGAGAAGTCTACAGAAAACAATTTACCCATGGAAACGTAGTCCACGAGGTCTATTTCGCCTGTCTGTGGGTCTGTGTTAGGACCAGTATGAGATCCATTGGGACTGTATTGCTGAAATGTTCTGTAGTTTATGGTGAAAGTACTTGGAGATTATTCTGTCATCTTTTATATTCAACACTTATGGAGTCTTGCAGGCGAATTATCATGACGTTGGGCCTCTTTACCCTTATCAGAGGAATTCGTTTGAAGAATTAAAGAGAATCAGTGTTATCTTTTTGAAAATTATTAGCCCTTCAACCAAGTAAACCACTATCAACCATGGTGACTCCAGGTTCTTGGTTTTTTAGGAATGAAAATTATTTAAAGGTAATTAACTCTGTTTGATCATATATCATGACACATGGCCTGTAGACTTTGCTTTAGACCCCCAAGACCTTGAAACCTGGTACATATATCATGGCACATGGCCTGTAGACTTTGCTACATCTGACCCCAAAGACCTTGAAACCAGGTACATATATCATGGCACATGGCCTGTAGACTTTGCTACATCTAACCCAAAAGACCTTGAAACCAGGCACATATATCATGACACATGGCCTGTAGACTTTGCTACATCTGACCTCAAAGACCTTGAAACCAGGTACATATACCATGACACATGGCCTGTAGACTTTGCTACGTTTGACCACCAAGACCTTAAAACATGGTACATTTTGCCAAAGATCTTATACTGAGGTTTTTGCTTTATTTTTGCCATTAATCTGAAATCATGACATTAAATATTTAGTGAAGAAGGTGATTTCAACACATTAGCCATGTTAAATTCAAGTCAAATTCAAATCATCAAAAAATGCCAATAATCTCCCTTGATCAATGTCCATGTCCATACCCAATATTGCTATAGATCATTGTGGTTTGGTAGGGGCTCAAAGGACAGTAGAGAAATTTAATGATAATTTGGTTGTCTTATTTTTTCGAAATTTCAAAAACACAAGACGAATCTGAAGATATCATTAGAACAGCAATTTCAGGTTTCTTCTAATAAATTTGCAACATGTATTTCAGTCACCAAATTTCAGAATCGCTGCCAATCATTTAATCAATTGTAGAGTCACAACTCTATATTTTTTGGAAGGCGGTGCACAGCAGGTATGTCAATTTAAAGCAGACTTGAATTCAAGGTAGATTTATAGACATCATATTTACACAAATGAAAACCAGTATACTTTAAAATCATTAATTTTCATGAGGATTTATTTTCTTTGTAGTCATAGGTATTTTAAATCCATTTATATGTACACAAAATGATAAACATCTAAAAATGGACATGGATTTTAGAACTGTAAACCAGTGGATTTTATGAGCAAGACTTATCCATGATATCAGATTAGAAAGAATATTTTTGGAAAACCACTCAATTTGAGAACCACAAAAATATATGATAAATCACATTCAATCTGAAAACTTGAAATTGACATTTTCAAACTATTCTTGTTTGTGAGATTACAAGTCTGAGGTCGTAAAATAAACAAGTCCATTAAAAAAATAATATATGTTGTAGGAATTTAATGCTCTGCTTGTCTAGAAATCAGTTTCTTACTAATTATCTTCTGAAAGGTCATTAATGGAAAACCAAATGTTTTCCTATCAATATCATTGATACTTAATGAACGTGTCTGAACGCTGATGATAGGTGAAATATTGATGAGATTCAACAGAAAGTCAACTGAAACCCTTTGTCACAAGTATACCTGTCTATTCTGAATCAATAATACACTTTAGACAGGTTTCTCAGTAAACATATTCATTACTGACGGTATGTCTAAACTGAGGAGTCTATAACAGACCAATCTGACCTATATCCTTTTATATCTCCATATGTTTACATAGTCTGAATTATTCTGACATTCTTCGTTCTGACTTTGATAAATCAATCTAGGGTGTTTGTGTACCTCCACATATTAGCCCTACTGAAAAATCTGTTACAGAGCAATCCAATATCAGCCTCTGTTCGTGTAATTTGTTCAGACATTCACAATATCCTTGCTTGAGATTCTGGCTATGACAGCATCAGACAGGGAGCATGTGGCTAACTCTGCATCAGTTATCTTGTAAATCTGAAATAGAAGTTAAAGAAAGAAAAAAGAATGAGAAAATTCATTTGACATTAAAGCTTATCATCAAGGTCATGGTACTAGCATGGTCAGGGTTCTTTGAACCTATCTATTGTTGAATTTTCTTTTTAATTTCCTGAAAGGAATATTCAATATTCTAAGGGATGTAAATTTATGATGTTATTAGATCCTTAACGGGGGCTTTTAAATTCTGCCATATTTTTATCACATTTTAGTATTAAAAATTGTTTATTTCAATTAAAATCTAATAGATCTTTGATCTAGTTATACTTATCAAAAAAATGAATTGAAAATGGAAAGATGAGCCCTACTTTTTTTATTGATGGTATATCTGCTAACGTTTCCACTTCTGCTACATCAATGAGTTCTCCCTGGATATAAGTAAGTAAAGAGTCCAGGACTACCCCATCAACATCATCTGTGATGGCTACCATAACACTTTGGTCAGTGTCAGCGAGGCCAAATTTCCTGAAGGATTCTGAAATCTTAATAAATATACAGAAAATTAAGCCTCCACAAGTGTTCCAAAGAGCCTGCTTCAACGAGCTAATTCCTTGGATCCTGGCCTTGTGGTCGAACATAAGTCAATTTCACTATTCATGAAGACTGCTGCAGACTTAACTTGGACAATATCCTTTCATGTAAGAAGGATTTTTAAGAACTTACATTTCCCCTATTGGGTCCCACATCCCTGATGTCAGACTCCTGGTTGATACACAATAAGATTCCTTTCACCTAGATATGTTTCAGACTAAATTGGGAAAGAATCAAGACATTCCCACAAAAGAAAGACTTTAGAGAATTTCCTCCATTTCCACTATTTAACCCCACCCCAGTGGGCAGGGACCCACCATCTTTACAAAATTGATTCCCCTTCACCAAAGTGTGCTTCAGACTAAATAAGGACAGTACCCTGATATATATCTTCAAAAGAAAAGGATTTTAAAGAATTTCCCCCAACGGGCCCTGCCCCTCCCATCCTAAGGGACCAAGACTAATCCTTTAAACAATATGAATCCCCTTCATTAAAGTGTGTCACATCAAATATGAACAACATTTGGCATTCCTGCAGGAAAAGGATTAGATTTTTTTTCTGTATTTCTCCTATTTGAGTCCCTGCCCCTCTTGACCCCAAGGGGGCCAAGACTGACAGTTTATACACTTGATTAAAATTCAGCCAACCATGGTCAGGTTAGCTAAAAACATAACTACACAAAATGTATATATTGTTCATCTATATTTGTCAAACAATATAAAGGTAATCAAAATGTTGAACCCCACAGTACAAGAAGATCCAAATTAACATGTCCTCCTGCCAACTGTCATAAATTTTTTGGAAACTGGAGCTTCATAGTAAAATGTAATGAAATGAATGTACATATCTATTTGCTAATTTTGGACAAAGTATTTTCATTGCTACTTTTTATTTACATGTATGTTTTTTTTTTCTATATGAAAATATAATCAGAATTTTGCATTGAAGATTTCTTATATCTTTTATGACAACAGGCAAGTACAGAGTACATTTACTTCTATCTTTATAAATGGAGGACAAATAAGCATAAATTTTCAAATAATTTAATACCAATAATTTCTATAATGATTAACTTCGGGGAAAAAAACAAAAACAAAACAGAAACTGATTAGCATATGATGTTTTAACAAAACTGGCTGCAGCTTTTCTGCCATGAAAGTATCAGGAAATGTTCATGCAGGTAACTATAAACAACAGATTTCGAACGATAAATGATATTTTTCCACTACATACATTTTTGGTGGGTGATAAGCTGAATAGAATTTCTGTGTGAACATTTTTGGTCATCATCTTGTTGACTTTGTTTAAATGTACTGCTCTGTTTGCAGCCACAATTACTTGGAAAGGATCCATAATCTGAAAGAAAAAAAAACAAATATAATGGATTGATTCTAAATGTACTACTTTATCAATGATTAATGCTATTTTTTGACAGAAAACAGGAAAAGAAAAATATCCACGAGAGTGATAGCTTGTAAAATGTGTACAAAAGTTTTGTGTAGTTCTTAAACAATGCTGTTGCCATACTTTCAGAACCACGAAAATTGAAATTATTTTACCTATCTGTTTCTATGGTAACAAGAAAAATTAGAACTCCTCTATTGCAAAGGCGCCACTAGAATTATAGGATAATAAGTGGACTAAATTAAGCTGGACAGTTTTGACATTTTACTCCTGAAACAGTAAAATTTGTAGCTGTGCCTGTTTTTCATGGTAAAAATACAAGAAAAAAAATCTTTGAAAGACAAATAAACAATCAGAAAGTTATTATGATAGTTGTTCAAAGTTTCATGTAGTTATCTTGAACACAACCGTACGTGCGCACACAAGACAATGTTACCAATGAGGGCGATGAGAGGCAGTTCGCAACATACTTACTTAGCGATACTTAGCGATATTTTTCGGTACAGGTCCTTCACGGTCCTCTACACCGGACCGTATTCATCCCATATAATGTTCGCTACGTCATGGTGAACGATTTAATGTCACAGATTCGTTAACACCTTCACGCATCTATATATTAGAAAAACACCAGATACTAGAAAGTATTGTATAAAATCTAGCAATTATACTCACAACAGACGTCTTCAATAGCGCAGCCTCAAATTTCCCAGTCATCACACATTGTCGGAGTTCTTTCGCATTGTCAACATTTCTGAAAAGTGCGAGTGTCACGGTCGAATCAGGGTACAGTGCATTTCTAATTACCTTCGCCGACATATTCCGAGGATTAAAAGACCGTTTTCTTCTTGACAAATAGTGGTTTGCAACTAATTAGTGTTTTCTTTGCATACTATCTCTATTTCTGAACATGCCGGATGTGGATATCTTTTATTATCTTTATCACCTGAAGAGCTCCGTAACGGCACTGACTTGGACTTAGTTACCTCCCATGTTTATCGTGTCGCACTTACAGTATTGTTATTTGTACTAATTCAAAACATGTCTTATCTGATTGTAATTATTTACTTCATACTAAAAAGATAATCGCTAAAATGTTTTACATAAAGATTTGTTTAACTCTAATGGACGAAAACAAGAAGTGTTATTAGACGAAAAAAAAATACAAAACAAAACAAAATAAATTTACTTTTCTGTTCTTATGGAAAACGCATCGTGTGGTAACTATCAGTGGCACGGTCCAATTTCACGCATTCATCCTAAAATAACACACACATCAAAGCATTTTGCATTTTGAACATGCTAAAAGGTCACCGTCTTTTTTTTTTTATCTTTCCCGTCTAAATATTAATTGAAATACATTTAGATACATTTCAACGACAGGCGTTTTTTGTTTTTGTTTGTTTTAGCTTTTTCTCAACTTTCAGTTTTGTGTATTTACATATAATTACGGATCTACCAATAAATACATCTGGAATTTTCTTGCGTTCGTTCCGGTTACGGTTCGGAGATGTCATTTTTTCTATTTGATGAATTGAATGTCAGTTAGCAAAGTGTTGATTTACGATGTTGAATACTGAAATTACATACCCGGAACAAGATTTTTACAGGGTGACATGCAGAAAACCAAGTAGGCTCCTATTACCGTCCTTGCGGCCATCCGCTTCCATGGCTACAGCCGCGCGTTCACCATGTTTTGTAATTACGGTCATCCAATGATATATGTTCAATTTTTTATGAGTAAGGCACAGAGATACCTTCAAAGCAATCTGAAAGTATTTCAGTAATATATTTGATGCTCACGGATTTCACCGTCCGGATTGCGGGACGTTGAGGACGGATGTTGGCCTCTCGTTATCTTTTTCGTGTAGTTCTGGAACTGATCCATCCAAGTCCTGTAATGCTTCTAAAGAAGAGGACTGCTTTTGATTATGCAAATGCGACGTTCGAATGCACGAATTTTGCTGGCGTGATGTCACACACGGATGTCCGACCTAGCCCTTTCATTTGGACACGAAGTAGCAATAATGCTTATAGTCCTCGGTTTCCCTCAATTCGACAATAAAAAATGTTTACAGAAGACGCCAAACTGTGGTAAGGAACAGGAAGTAACAACGATGGTGAAGTGCTCCAAAACGATGTTGACATAAAAGATGTACTTAGTAACTCATATATGCAATAACTTTCTCTTGGTCGTAGCGTGAATTAGATACCTACCAAAATTACGAGGAGTTTTTATATTATTGTTAGAAAACAGTTTAATCAGTCTGAAAACAGATGGTTGGCGATTAAAGATTAAAAACGAAGTTGAGGATGAAACTCATATAATGATCTGAATATGCTGGACATAATAGTATAAAATGAGCTTCACCTTTAGCTTCGTTTTTGTCACAAAGCGTGCACAGTTTTTGAGTTATATGAAGGTCAAAATATCTTCCATATTGACATTTAGTGTATGCGCATTCAACATATACTTAGAAATAATACTTTTATCTTTAAAAGTTAGTGGCTTCTTGAGATAGGATTGTGTAGCAAACTGATCTACGATAGGTTTATATATAACACACTTTGAAGAATTATTAAAACCATTTCTTAATTCTTGAATAAAAATATCCACTATCCGTAGTGTTTATACAATTATTAAAAATAACTTTCATTTGGTACCTGGTGTGCTAACCATAGCTTGATGTTGACAATTTACTGACGGTATGTGCTTGTTGTTTATAAATAAAACGAAAGCCATTGATGACGTAAGTTAAAATTGATTTTATTCTGCTTTTGTTACAATAAGGTATATATGGTTCTGAACAGTCCGCTACAGATAATTTGCTTTTGATACATTTTGCATTAAATATTGAAGGAGACTTCGACTCGAAAATGAAATCAATTTTAGTGTGGATCGGCATGAAGCATTTATAATTTATCTGTCCAATTTTGTAAACTGTTGTATTTTTTTCATTTATTCTGACTGCAAGGAATGGTCTTTTAAGAAAGAAATACTTGAAATTGATAATTCAATATTCTGATTACTTTGCTGAATTTGCCGAACTGTTGAACTCGGCATCGAGGCGTGATTCAGATGTCAATTAAGTCTGATGTTTATCTTCACTGTCATGAAAACTCCTTCGATTACAACTGTTACTTCTACTAATTTCACTTCGTTTGGTTATTATGAATGAACGCCACAGTGAGCATTCGTCATCTCTAAAAACTGGTCAAATCCAAGCGTGTAATGTCACGCTCGTAAGTAATGTATCATAACAATGGTAGTTTTTAATATATAAATCATTAGTAAAGAAATATAACAATAGTTTATTCTTATTTAAATATTAATACAAACTGAAACCATTCTGCTGATATCAGTACATAAAGTTTGTGCTGTGTGTGGTTAAATTGAAATAACATATTTTTTTTACATTGTTAAACATGCAAACAATAAAACGAGGAAATATTTCAAGGCTGATGATAAAAATATAACAAACTGAAACGAAGATAGATTGGCATTAGGATGGGAGGTAACTCGTAAAAGTCGTAAGTCATCGATCAACAGCCTGAGTCAAGCAGGGTAACAAATTTTACATTGAAGTTTAAATTAGACATATACAATCATTATTGCTTCATTCTGACCCACACTAACATTCTTTTTATAATCAATAATAATTATTATTATTTTCAAATTTTACATTGAAGATTACATGTTATGTCTTTGTTATTTTTTAATCAACATGAATTTAAAACGTCTTTCATTCTAGCAATGCTCCGTTTCGCGTCTTGATAATGGTGTTCTTACACCCTCTACAAAACTGAAGGTATCTGCGAACAAAATAGATAAAAATGAAACTTCTTTTATCTTTCGATCGGAATAAATAAGAGTTTAAGAAAAACTAAATGACATTCCGTTATACAGACGCCCTGCATGTGTTAATTATCTTAATTGCATTGCCTGATCTAATTAGTATTATATAGTCTCCAATACCAACAGTTCTGCAGATCTGCCAATGAGCCCAGTTCGCGGCAAAATAGCGTCACACATCAACCACTCAACCGTTTAAATCACCCTCGCCTTAGTGGTTAGGTCAAGGTAGGGATTCAAAAGAAGCGCAGAATTTGAATTGATGAGGTTTGTACGTTCGTGGTTTATCATTATAAAAAACATCTCTGTTGAATGTCGATAAAAGTAATGAAATCTGAAAGGCAGGTATCCAGTGAGGAAGCTTCTCGGTGTTAGTGAGTCGATGTTAGACAAACTTAAATGGCTACTTTCGGCATTGTAACTTCAGACCAAATAAATTAATGATCCATCACACCCCCCTCAAAAATTCTTTAAGGGGAAAATATTTTTTAATCGCTCTTCCGGAAGATCTGGCGTTGTTTGCTTTGTATTTTTTTTCGAGAGACTCCGGCGTAAATCTCCCACTTGTTAATATTTTGCACATGTTTTATCGAATTTCAGTTCAGATAATGATGGTGTCCACTTGTTTCGTTTTTCAAGATAGTTATCTTTAATATAACGCAAGACGTAATTCTTATTACGTCCTCTAAAATTTTGGTTTTGCGTCTTCGCAAACAACCAATAGGTCATGATTGTAAACAAATTCAAATTAAATCTGAAGTATTTGCAGAAAAGAACCAACGCGTTGACTGATTTGAATATGCATGAAAAAAGGTAAAGTTTTATAACACATATACCTTTTTTTTTGGAGGGGAAATTGTATCGCTATTAATAACACATTCAATTTGTGATATTCTCAGTAAAGTATTAAAATAATTAAAGATTTGATATATGTTGTACACGACTCTGACAATTCCGTATTTCAAAAGAGCATTAAACAAGGGAGGTAACTTACCTGTTTTGATAAAACTATGCCAATATCAGCTCGTTACTGTGAAAAACAATTAGCAAGGACTTGTCCCAAAAATTTAACAACTCAGTTTTTATAATTAAACTGCAACGACAGATATCTGTCTACATTTGTGGTGCTAGATCGGGAGGTCGCAACAGTAGACGTAAACCGACTCTTTAAATACTGAAAAGAAAAGTCAATGACATGTTCTTCTATGATTTAACGCACTAACAGTATATTTTGTTTATATCGTCCGAGATTTTGAAAAATGATAAATCATTAGGCTCGTTTAGCAAATCTCACGCGATCACGTATAAAATCTTGTACTGTACAAATATAAACTGTCTAATATTAGAATTTGGTATCTGTGAATAGTATTGTAGTGACGAGTTATCTCCCTTGTGTAATACTTAGAATTAATGAAAATAATATCTATATCATTACTACTGACACTTTATATTACACAATATTAATTTCCTATTGTCATTGTTGTTGACAAAATAAACCTTAAATCATAAATGAAAGTAAATATTCACATTTAATGAAAAAGAATATTTTTTAATAAAGTTGTACACGCTTATTCATTTCTATATTTATTTTATTATAAGTATACCACTTTGATAAATTGACCTTATGGCGTGCAAGAACACGCCTGACTTTTGACCAATTTTGGTAGAGACTGCCTCCTTCGTGTTGTAGTCTTTTCTGAATAATTAACGATAGTTCAACTCCCCTTCTCCGAGAACTGAAAGGTTTAGAGAATTCACAGAGTATACGGAAATTTAACAAATGATTAAATGAAACAGTCATTCTTACCTGCACAAATTCAGACACACTCACCTGTGTCCGCTCTCACACTCGGACACGCACGCTCTGATACATTAGCACTCTGAAGCGATCACATACATTCACTCACCCGTACTTGCTGTCATGTACATTGCAATCACTCGCACATTCATACAATCATCATCAGCTTAACCAGGAACTACGTCCATAACTCACACTGAAAAATCGTAATTAACATTTAATAAAAGTATTTCATAGTTCTTCTGAATATTGTTTAAATGCAACATTTAAGAAGTTTCCAAGATTCTTTAACATTATTGACATCTAGTAACCGGATGAATTTAAATACGCTAGGTTTACACAAATAGTATGACTAAAAGGGACACGTCAAATTAAAATCTAAGTTCATTTTCAATTTCATGACATTACATAAGGTACAGATTCTATTTGATCTGACAATATTGGTAAATCTTCCACATTCTATGTTCACTTTTTGCGATGACAATCTTATTCGCAATATGCTTTTCTGCACAGACAGTCAATATGTTGCCTCCAATAAAATTACAACCCTAACTTGTCTATCCAATGTTGATATATAGAACCTTTTGAGGAGTTACAAATATTGCCAAATAGTTCTTGAGAGTGAATTTCATGAAATTTGTTATCAATCAGCTTGTACATTATTATTATTGTTATCAAAATTATTATTCAACTGGGACTCTAACCCTAATTTGCCAAATTTTAATTTCATTTTTGTGATCCAATCATCGTTATCTAACAATCTTTTTTCGTAACATGCTTTCAATGCACAATTTTCAGTTATTTTAATATCAATATATTCAATTTCCTTCCCAGATGCGTTTGTTATCTTTCTAACTCATAATACACTAAATCATAGCGTAGCCTAATTCATTGTTAATAACCGAGCTTAAAGTTTCTACAATAAAGTAGTGATTTTTCATTTTGTTCATCAATCTGAAAAAGGCTTTCTTTCTTTTTAGCTGCATGTTTTTTATCCATTAAATTTACCATGAAATGTAAACTCTTTAAAAAGTAAAAATAAATACATTTTCGTCATTATGATAAAACCATTTTTCATTGCCTGTTTAGTTTAAATCAATTTTATTGCAAACAAAATACAAAGACGAGTAATTCTGTGGATTTGGTGACTGTCATTTCCAAATCCAGCAAAGAACTGACTCTTTACTGTACACACATTGCGTTCTTCTTATCTAAAATGTTCAATCACATCCCGTGCTTTAGTTCGCCTGGATCAATCCTTGTCCTTCTACGATGCCGTACTCTAACTGCTTTGCCGACAAGGTTAGGAAACCACAGCCGTGATCTTAGTATATGGTTTCGGTAAACTATGAATATTTTACTATGTATTAAATAAACATTATGATTAAATAAATAAAACAATATCCGTCGGTGTTGGGAGGAGAGGATGAAACTGGATGAATGGAAGGGGTGTGGGGGAAGGGGTAGTATAGACATACTATTTGTCCTGGTTATCGATGATTAAATGTTAAAACGTTTAGAACTAGAAATAAATTATTGTAAAGCCCTACAGATGACAATATTTTATCAGTATCGAGATTTTCGTCCCCAAATATGTGTTCCACGGTTGTTTCGTTGTACCAGTAAAGAGACTGAAACATTATATTACGTAATTGATCAAAGTTGTCACAGAAAAGCAAGTAATGACTAGAGTCTTCAGAATGATGTCCGCAACTGCAAGAAAAATTGGGTCGAAGACGTGCTTTATAAAGATCATAATTTAGGGAGCTGCTGCGGTTGCGGAGTTGGCAATGTATTTTATTTACTTTTCTAGGCCCGTACTCGAGAAATGATTTAATATTTGTAGGGATAGTAAGATGAGGTAGAAGAGCTTTGAATTGTTTGATAGAATCAGATGACTTAGTTTCGATAGGTAGAGTATTCCAGGAGTCTGAAGTGCTTGGTATAAAGGATGAATTTGTAAGTTGTAGCATATAGAGTGGATTTTGAAAGTTATTTCTGTCTTTAAGATTGTCATTTGTAGAATTTGACACAGTATGTGGTAGTATAGATTTTAGATATGAAGGAGCATTATTGTGATAAATATTATAAAACATAGATAACTTCCTATTTTTACGTCTGTCCGCCAACGATTGCCAGCCTAGCTCCTTGTAAATAAATTCTTTTTAGTAAATACTGGTAATCCTGTTATTATGCGACCTACTTCATACTGAATATTTTCTAAATTTATTTGAAAGAGTGGTATTGCAATTATCCCAAACTTCGCAGGCGTATTCAAAAAGTGGTCTGATGAAAACAAGATATATTTTTTCTAAGTTTTTTTCTGTTTAAGATGTACTTAAGTTTCCAAAGTGTTGCGATGTATTTAGCAGTTTTTGTCAAAATGTCACCAATGTGTGAGTTCCAAGTACCATTGCTCCTAAGTGTTTGTGTTTGTTAACGATAGGAATGGGTGTGTTTTCAAAAAGAAATTGTGGGTTAGAAGGTATTTGTGTTAGAAATCAGGAGTATTTCAGTTCTAGTTGGATTGAAGCTCATTAACCATTTTTGAGACCAAAGATTACCAGTTCTAGATCGTGTAAATGTTTAGAAGAGTATGCTAATGCAGTATCGTCAGCGAAAAGTCTAGTAATAGATAAAAGAGTGTTTGTTTTATGCTCACCATTCCGGAAGATAACCATTTTTGTTTGTTTAATTTTTTTTTTGTATTTTTTTTTAAACTTTATTTTATTTTGGCAGTGGCATTTCATTCAAAGCATGTTATACAAAAAGGATTCAGAAAGAAGTTATAAACTTATGTTAATCTGTCTCCTTAGAAGTAACAAGCAGACAGCGACTGATCGAATTTGGGAAAGTGAAAAGAGTTTAGGAGAGGGAAATGAAGTAAGGAAAGTGGATAGAATGAGTAGTATAGTATGTATTTTAAGTGTGAGCTTCCATTTATCATGATACGTTAGTAAAGCGTTTAACTTTGATTGTAAGGCACTAGTTGATTCAGCTATTAGAACAGAGTCGTCGGCATACATAAGTAAAAATATGGTTATCATACCTAATTCAATTGTTGACTAAAATTCCTAACCTTGAACTATAACTGCAATTACGGTTTTCCTTTATCTTTTATTTTTGTTGTTGTTGTTGTTTTTATCTTTTTTAAGAACGGTAATTATCTGCATTTTAATAGGAAAATGTTGCATGAAATCCAACTTTTGGTAAAATAATTTTGGTCTTCTTGATTGACCAAGAAAATACGGAAATTTGAAATGTAATAATATACATATATATATATTTATATCATGGGTCATACAAACTTTCCAAGGACTTTTCAAGGCCCTATTCACCTTTTTTAAGGCTTTTTGTTCAGAAATATTAAGTGCATTTTACAATGACAAACGCGGAAAACATAACAATATGTATACTGATTTCAGATGTTTTGCTAAAGGTTAGTTTTGTCAGAGGTGTCTTAGGGCCATCATTCATATCCAACTGTTTACCAAATCTTTAAGAGCACTCACGGTGCTTTCAATCAATGAAGTTTTTGCACTGTTCAACCTTTTCCTTTGCACTCCTGCGAAGGGATTTAGAATGAGACAAGTGAGCGAGATTGCCTTCTACCTCAGCTCTTTGAGAAAATGTATCTGCTGATTTCAAACTGAGCGACTCCTGGTCCTGTTGAGATTGCTTAATTCTTCCTCCAAAGCCTCACGTTTTCTGGCTGCTTTAGCACTGGACAGTAGTTCTTTGGTAAGAGGGACAGGGGGATTAAGTCATGTCATGCCATATGAATATTGAATTTATACAAATATTTGTTGTCAGATCAAATTTTTTTATTGCATTGTGAATCTGCTATGAATCAGAGTGTGCAGGCTCTGTCTTCTTGTTCATTGTTCAGCGGTTGATCCACCTACACCTGTACTTCGCATGGCCTATATCTCTAAGGTCTGTGGCCACACATATATCCATGGAAATAGGACCCAAACTGGTTAAGTACCCAAACAGGGACACTTTATAAACATGCATAAAAGTTAATTCCAATTCAACCTTAACCAAGGTTACCTCAGACAGAAAAGTCTTATATTTGGTGCAAACCTTTGACACATCTGTATGCTCAGAACAGTTGTGGACTCTTTGTAATAGCTCATGGACAGATACATGTGGGCTGTATAATAAGTTGAAGATGAAATTGGGCAGTGTAGACAAAGTAAGACAGGCCTACATACAAAACCAACATTTTTTTGTGCTGATATCTTTTATTAGCATTACCATAGCATGATTTAAACAAATGACAAACATCATCAAAGTTATAATATCATAACTTAATTTTTAACAGTAATGTTGCATTTTTCAGTAAGAAGCAGTAAACTGAATTGCTTCTCTGTGAATAAATAATAGTAACACTTTAAATACCTGGTACACATTTTCTTAATATCTCTTCAATCTTTCTTAAAACAGGCAGAATTTGAGTGAAGTTAATTCCAGAGGAGGCCAAATGTATTTAATAAAATTCAATATGAATTTCACATCATATAACCCAGATTTATATGTTGAAACTCCAAAAATATTCTATAACAAATTAAACCTGAATACACGATAGATCGTTAAAAAAAGAAAGAAAAACATTTATATAAGAATTTTCACCACCAGTAAATTGCTTTGCTGTGATATCACTTGTTATGATAAGTATCAATATAGAATATCCCCTAATCTGTCCATCAGAATCAGTGAGAGCTGTAACAACCTAAATGGTTCCTGAAACCCTGTACATGGTACATGATGGCAGAAAAACATTGACCCAAAGGTCCATTTAACCTATGGCAGTGGCCATGACCTCCGACACATCTGGGTCAGTTGAACGGACAGTCAGCTGCATGGTGACGCCTGCATCAGAAAGCGCAAGCTTTGCCCTAACCAGGGCATCATGACCTCCTCTGTACACTCCTGCCAAGTACAGAGTATGTGAAGACTTGCCCTCTGGTACTTTGTCTGAACGTTCGCAGGGCTGCATACCCATAAACTTGATAATATTCTGTACAGCCTCTGTATAAATATAATAAAATATTGTCAAAACCCATTTCAATTGCAATTCACTTTTCAAAGCCTAAAATGGTAGTTTTACAATCAAGATTAACAGAAACCAGGTCATTGATTAAATTTCAAATACTGCATGTGTGTATAGTAAATTAGAAATATTATAATTCTACATTGTTTGAATATGAACCCATACCAACACACTACACTTTTGTATGTATTTTCTAAAGATATGTATGTAATCTCACCTTCAAGTGTCTTCATGGTAGACAGGGCATATGTGTCTTCCAGTTCATTCTCTGGTCCTACTTCATCCCATGATGCTCCAAAGTTTGGTTTCATAACACGCTGAACATGGTCAGCAACAGATACCTCCACATCCTCTAACTGCACACAGAAAGTAAAAATAGCATGCATTATATTGAAACAAATATAATCCACAACCAAGGAGTAATTTGGAACTTGTTAGCATGATTGTTTTTGATGCAGAATCAATGGAAAAGGTTCTCAATTTAAAGAATTTTTTTTAAAAAATTCTAATGGTAGTTTGGAAAGTCTCTTCAATGTTTGTGAAATTCAAATTCAAATGGCCATTACTCTAAAAGCTGACTACAACCAGATCAAAATTAGTCCTGGTTAAACACAGTTATACACAATTCAGTAAGATATCTGTATCTGTTATAGAGTAGACAGTAGAAACAAAATCATGACCGAATGATGGACAAGAGTAAAACTTTAGGCATGGACAATGAAAAGGCCTAAGCATAATAAGGAAAGCAAAGAAATATTCACTCTTCCATGAAAACAGCATTGAATAGTTCTTGAATTGTATAGCTGGTAATATTCGCCACGGATAGTCAGTATATAGTATCAAAATGGTGTCAACATTTCCCTCAGGGATTTTAAATTAATAGTCGCAAAATCCTTAATAGTACCATTGAATGATCTTTTATCTTTACAAATTTCAATGTAAAAAAAAAGGAAAAATATTCACACTTGACAAACTACATACCACATATTCATCCTCATATCCTTCATCATCTGGTTCACCTGTGTTGGGATCACAATCCTTTACTATAAATTTCATTGTGCAGCTGAATGTTCCTGTTACTGTAAAGATAAAAGACAGTTAGAGCAACAGTGAGAGATTTAACATAGCAAATATCAAACATTAACACATAGTTTCATAATAGTTTTCAAAATTAGATCATAAGTGTTGATCAGATAAATAAACTTAATTGGAGATTGATCTTCTTATGTATTTTAAACCTCATAACCAGTTTAATTTTGCTGATGTTTATCTTTTTTTAAAAAGATTGTATGGTGACGATACTGGTGAATGTACTATAAATAGAAGTGAATGAAATCAATCACCCGGAACCATTCTTACCACTGATCAACTGCTTAACAGCAGTATGGTTGTTGTGCAAAACTTATCTGAACTCTCATCATATTGAATACTTAACTGACATACTGTGGTCAGATGTATAAACACTGCACTGTAAGGATCTGTCTAAGTTTCTAATTGGGACACCAGTATTGATTCAGGAGAGAAAATAGAATTCACAAAGCCATTTAAACTTGTGTACAAAATTTCAGATAGTGAAAAAATATCAATCAGTAAGGATAGTATATTGTAAAACCCTGTTGTTTAGTATTTTATTATTATACAATCTTCTTTTATTGTGTCCCACAGTTTTATACAATGTTGTTCACAACTCCTTTAGAGTGCGCCTGATTATAAAACAACTGAGTATCTTAACGAAACTTTTCAAGATATTTGCACAGCCCAGCAATGTGAGATACCTAAAGTTGGATCCTCTGGTAGATGAACTAGTGTGTAGGTTGTGCCAGGTTTATTGTAAGGTAAACTAGCACAGGGCACAAACTTGAGCACCTCAAACCCATCTGCTGGCTCCACCTGTACCGTGACATTTTCTAGAACTTGGTCATTCAGGGTGTTGCTGCAGTCAAACTAGAATGTAAAAGTAGAATTTAAAATCTAAAACAGTCTGGGACAATTTTTTCAGGGTACATACTGTTAAAGATGTAAACAGAATCTGAGGCAAATCTTCTAATTACATTAAATCTAATATAGATTAAAACAGATTTTTACTAAAACTTGGTAAATGTGTTGAAATCTGAACACAACTGAAAAGGCACAAAAGCTAAACTTAGAACTACATTTCATGATCACTTGAAACACAAGAGTTCTGTCTCACCTGAAACACCATGTAGTGACTATATGTATGTTTAACACACTGCACAACATACTCAGTCTCTGATTCTGTCAGCTGTACAGGTAGCGATGATGACTTGAACAGGTTACCAAGGTTAGCAAACTCTGGAATAGCAGACAGCTGTTCTGCATATATATCCTGTCTGGAAGCTGCCACCTTTTCTGCCTTTGGTGCCCCGACCTCTCCAGGTTCCCGTACTGAACAAAATAAAATAGAAATAATTGAATAAATTATATATTGCCAAGACCTCTCATATTGACAGACTTTACATTGCAACTTACTATTAACTCATAAATAGAGATTTAAAAATGCAGATTTGGTGGACGTTGTTAAATTGAAACAATTGTTACATAATAGTCTGAATGATTATTTAAATCTGGTTTCTGACGAGTTAAAGTTGATCAGTTTTACCTATACTTCTATAAACCATTAACAAAATGACTCCAAGTTCATAATCATAAATTCTAATTTGTGGATCATGGAGTTTAATATAGGTTTCTTCATTTAACTTGTGATCAAATGATATATTTGAATACTTTAAGTTTCAAGATTTGATTCTATATTACCACAAAGTCTTCAGAAAGATTGCAACACTAAAACTTTGAACATAAAACAAAGCTATGTTATTTTATAGTAAAAAATAACCTACAACTATATCACATTAATCAACAAGAATACTCTGTGATCAATCTACTACAGCAAACTTTATGAAGTTTCATGTTCAGCAGAAACAATTTACACAATCATGGATAGCCCTAGAACAGGGGTGATTGTCCTGGTGTTGTAGCTACCTTGTTTACTGTCTGGAAGGGGTGCAGTCTCTAGTGGGACAGACTTGACATCAAAAGGAGTCTCGGATGGCTCCATTGTGTAGTGGTGTAAAGCTCTCTCTAGTCCCACCACAGAAACCTGTAGGCCTGTAATATAATTCCATGTTCAGTGATTTCGGAGGTTGCCTTTTCTTACATCAATTTGCAAGCCTTTTTTTCCATATAAAGAGATGAACTTTTACAATCTCAGTTTTTTTCATTTCCAATAAAATAATTAGTGACTGTACAGTTTACATGTTTCCTGTCTTCTCATGGATTGTGTAAGGCCAAAATGTCACCTTTTCCTTTAGCAATATGTTTTCAAATAATCACCAACTTAAACATATCAGACAGATTTCTTTAATGCATAATAACTCTGTATTATATATTTATACTTACCGTTGAGGATGTAGGTAGACTTGAGTGATTTCTGCTGCTGCTTGAGAGTATGTACATAAAATGTAGCTCGGTCTCTCACTTCATCATCTGTGTCTAACAAACACCTGCAAAATACAAAAGACCCATTATATAATGTTAGATTTAAAAATAAAGATAATATTTCTTGTTTAGACTGCACTATTTTTTGGCGCAAAAGGCTCCTGCTTTGCAGCCATGGACATCAGCTACAAGGCAAGATTAATCACTGATATTCTGAATTCAATTATAAGACCAACTGATTTATATGTAAATCAGTAACAAATATTGTGTTTACAATAGTTAATACTTTTATTATGAAGAAAAATTGTATTACCTCTCCAGAAGGACTATACAGCTAGGCAAAAGCTCCTCACAGTGTGCGCCAAACTTAGCCAGAGCTGTCACAGTGGCTGGAAACATCAAAATCATGACAAATATTTATACATGTCTTACTGTCAGCCAACTTACCTCTTGATATCGCATGATGTTCTTCAGAAATGAGTTCAACAAAGCTAAAAATTTGTGATTCATAAAATCATGTCCAATCTTGTTCACATAGAACTCAATAGCTGGTTATTACAAAATATTTACCGGTTGAAAAACGAGTCGACTGTGATGTTTCAGCCTTAAAAATTTACCCTTGGTCAAATGTTGATTCATTATTTACTTTTGAAAGATTTAAAACATTACCTTGATATCAGTTCTAGTGAACTTGACCTATAGTTAGGTAAACTGCTTTTTAATTTTGGTCTAATAAAGAAATCATAATTTCAGTTACAGCTATCTTCACTTGAAGGCATCAGAAACCTGATTAAAATGCAGTTCCAAATTTCAGTACCATATCTTGTCTGATTCAAATGTAAAGGATGGGAAAATATTAAAATGAACATTGCAATGCACACCACTTGTGGGAGATCCATGTCAATAATGCTTAATAATTCTGTCTTTCTGTTGTTTTTACCTCCTCAAATGGATAAATTTTAAAATATTTAAAATACTTTTCAAATAATGTAAACAGAACGACTGACAGTCATCCACTGTAAGCAAAATGGAAACTCACCTGCTCGTACAGCAGCATTCTCAAGGATGACTCTGTTGTAGATGAAACGAATGTACTTGGAGGGGGTTGGAGTACGTGGCCCCTCCCGACCAAGAAGATGTAGGATCTTTGTGGCCAGAACAGTATGCTCACAATCCTCAATGAATTCACACAGGTGGGCAAGTCCTGTCAAAAATGGAAAGTATATATCCTCAACTATCACTATAGGGAACTCCCTAAAGCTAAACTAATAATAAATTGGTTTAATTTTCCTATGAAATTTTTAAAAGCACTGGTCCTTCCTTCATAACTATGGAGGTACAGATAAATGTATATATTTTCAAAATTCTTTAATTTTCAATATCTTAAAAAATACTAGATGTCTCCATAGTAAATAATGATAAGAAAATTAAAAAAATGTATTCTATGTCAAAACATTTCAACTGTACAAACAATTTCCGAATGTAATGAGAAATGTGAAACTCACCTGCTTCTTTGGCTTCTGGGTTGTCCTCTATGATAGTTATAATACTGTCTACGATTGCTTTCTTATACTCAAAACCACCCTGGTAAACAAAGCATCACACAGTGATATAAGTCAATATAAGTAAATTTAAACTCAAAACCACCCTTAACTGTTGTTACTAAATCCTCATGATTACAAATTATACACATTAACTGAAATACCCCGTGGGATTATCTAGAGATGTAGTAATTAAATCATCTATCAGTTTAAATGAATTACCATTGCATGACATGCTGAGTAAAGAAATTAAAAGTTTAAAGGAAGATAATTGAAATTAATCAAAACCGATTTATTACCTCATCCCTCAAGACAGAGGACAGGAAATTCATCAAAACAGGATGTTTTCTTGGAAACTTCTGGCATAGTGACCTTAATAGTGTAAAATAAATATATGTTTTATGAAATATTCTGAAAACACAGTCCCCTGCAACAAGGATTGATTCTGTATATAGCACTTATATTTAAAAAGCATGTAAAAATGTTTCCGCTGGAACTGTTTTAACATTAAGACTGAAGAATCTTGCCTCCATGGAAAATACCACCAACAATACCCTATTAGTCTATATAGAATATAAAGACGGCCTTACTGTATAGCCTGAATGACGACGATTTTGAATTCATCCGAGATTTCATTCATGAAGCTGGAAATCTGTTTCATCAGTCTGTCAATACTGCTTTCGCTTCCTGTCTGTTACACAAACAACACACAGTGAAAACAACCAGTCATATATCTTATACACAAAATCAATGTATTGATGTAACAACTTGTATACTACGACAAAATCTGAGTGTTAAGAACAAAGTTATTGGAAATTGATACATTGATGAATCTTCTTAATGAAATTCTTGACTAGCATGATTCTTGATCACAAACTTATTACTAAATTGTTTGCTATCAAAATATATTCCCTCCATAAGAACGAAACATACTCTCACCTTTGGGATTATGATATTCATTACATTGTGTTGGTAATTAACACTACATTGTATAAACTAGTGTAAATTCAATAAGATACCTTCAGCAGAGTAGTAATGGCCAGTGTAGCAATACTTCGGTTAGAATCAGTGATCAGATTCTCCAGTTCTAAGTTACAGGCTGTCACTGCAGCTGGATGTTTCATGGCAACCTGTAAACACAAATGGTTAATATCACAAGCTAAGTTGTCAATTAATTGTCAGACAGACAGAGTGAAGTCTTCTATTCTATAATAAGTGATCACATGTCCGTTCTAAAATGTTTTCCTATCCGATTCTATGCGACAACAACCTTCTTCCATAAAGTCATGCAATGCACCTAACGGAAAGTTCAAACTTCAATGACTATAGTTTGTGACATCAGTTAAATCTATTGTAATTTTTTCTCGTTTCTAAATGTGAGGCTTACCTTGTTGAGAGTCCTGATGGCTGCAAACCGAAGTGTGGGCTTGGCTGAGCTACAGAAGAGCTGGAGAACAGGTACTGCAGAGGCCAGCTCTTTGGCAGATGTGTTCTTTAAATTCACTATGGCATGGGCTGCCTCGTAAATGACAATCTCACTCTTGTGGCGCAGGCAGTTTTCAATGAAGTCAAACATGGGGCTGTCAGTTCTGGAAAAGTAAACAAAAAGCCATGTCTGGTGAAGTACATGCAGGTTTGTTTTTCAAATTCCATTTTAAAAGACATCATGGTTCATTATCATCAAAGTAACTTTCAGATAAGTCCTCCTTGTACTTAACTTTTTAAATTCACATCAAATGTCTTATTGTCAATTTATGACACCAAAGTTTAATATAGACATTACAGATCATTTTCCTTACCCAACTCCTTCCTCTTCCATAAGTTTACTTGCGATTCTGATCTGCAAGACAATAGTAAAAAAATTGTGACCACAAAGTTTAAAATATAGACTATCAGTTTCTTTGCAGATATTAAAGATATATAAATATGACCTGAACTGTAAAATGTTTTCAATCATGAAACCTCTGCTGATTGATGCAGCGTCATTATAAGAGAAAGAATATTCCATCATTCCTCTGACAGAAAGGACTGAATAGTCCTGGTTCAGAGATTTCAGGAGATAGCTTTTTAGATTTCTAAAACACATCAGTGACACAATGACTTACCAGTAGACAGTAGGCGTAGGGAGACTTGAGGGAGTGCTTGGAAAACTTTGTCACTAGTTTGGTGACAGCCAGTCTGTCATATTTCCTGATGTGATACAGCAGTCCTAGGGCATGGTACTGTACAGAGCAACAGAATAGAAGGACAAGATATAGAATTAATCATTATCAAAATTAAAGACCTTTAGTAACTTGTCATGATGTCTGAATTTGACTAAAATTATAGCAATTCTTCTTTTGAGCTCAAAGCCATTTCAAAACAACTGACAATCCATTGTATATATCAGTTCTAAAAATCAGTCAGATATACATGCACAATAGTGAAAAACTTCCTAAACTAGCTTGTTACCCACACCTGCTAACTAATTAAATAGTAAATTGACTACTGGACCACAACTAACTTACCTGGACCATAATATTGTCACTTGACACGGCTTCCTGTGCCTCATTCACCCAACGCTTAGTCACATCCTGGCTACATTTACTCAAATGCTGTAAGATTGAAATCAGAAGGTCACAGTAAAATTCTACTGAAGAATGGATATGACATCAGATGTTTAAACATGCTTTTTCTAGATAATAGATTTATCAATAGGTATATAATTTCTATCATCCTACAAATAAGCAACACACCTTTTATAGCAATAAGCCCTTTACTGTTAATATTTAAGTCATCAAAACTGCTGAAATATCAATTCATATGTTAGAATGTAGAAAGGACAGATTAAACTTACTGAATTAACTTAACAAGCACTCCCTGACCTTTAATAGAAAAACATGAGTTGGGTCTGCTTAAAAAAACTGTATTAAGAGGGAAAACACTTGATATCTGATACACAATTTTAACTTGAATCCAAATAGAACATTCAGCAATATGACTAGGTACTGGTGGTTGCATATATATATATATATATATATATATATATATATATATATATAAATATGACAGGACTGATGGGCAAGGATAACACTCTATGCCCCCTCTTCTTATAAAATGGTGTATGTGTATATATAGGTGTCCTGGAGACAAATGTGTTTAATTAATAGGTCTAATAAGTGATATTGAAATCTGTCTTTGCTCATAATCTTTAAGGCCAAGGAAATCTCTAAAGCTTTAGAATCGTGTACTGACCAGTGAGGAGACTAGGGCTGCACTGGACACAGATGTGACTTTGTCCACGATAGCTTGTTTCATGTAACGCTCAATACTCTGCAACATTGTCGTCTATAAAACAAAACATTTGAAATGTATAAAAATTCACTATTGTTAACATGAACTTTCCAATAAATCTTCAATTATGGACTATTCCACCAAAATCAGGTTCATTTCAACAGGAAATTCTAAATTCTAATTAACATTAAAAAACAATAAAGATCTTAGGACATTTTTATGTAACAGAGGTCATTTGTCATCTCAATGCCTCCGCTAGGAATCGAACTCGGGACCCCTGGCTTACTAGTCTGACGCTCAACCAATCGAGCTAAAGAGAAGTTCTCTCTAGCCGAGTGGTATGTTGCGGCTAGTATTTTACCAGGGTTACATTTACTTGATAAATATCATAATAAATATGTATTATTTACATCTGTGATGGAACAAAGGGCACGGATGGCTGGGCCTCTGAACTGGTCTTCTCTTCCTGTCATGTCCTTCATCAAACTGTTAACATAAATATTGGATTTATTTTAACTTGATTGGAATATTTGCTCTAAGAAAACAAGGGCCTTCAGAGGCAGATTATTCTCCCAGAATGGGACAAAATTTAAGTATGAAAAAAAACATAAGGCAATAAGAGAGTTATGATTGACGTGCAATGCATTTCTCTATGTTGAGATCAATCTACCAATGCAGTTTTATGTTGATACCTCTTATAGTTTTTTGTTACGCTCCGAACAAAAAGTTATTTCGGATGGGCCGACAAAGTGGCAACTATAAGCTCTCCCTTCAGACAGCATAAAAATATAATGTATTGATTTATGTGTAAGAATAATAAATTCATTTATTTTAATCTTAAAATGTGTTCTTTTTTTATTTTATGGCTTACTCATTAATAATGTCATTTTAAATGCAAATGATGGAAAACTATTAAACAAAATATCTTGATTTTGATAATGTCACATCTTGATGTTACTGTATTATTTCTATGATCGTATACCTGCTGGTGACGATGATTACGTCCTGGGCAATCTTGGACATTTCCTTAATCCCAAGGTAAACAAGACGTCGCAGGATTGGCTGTAGGGACACAAAATTTCACACATAGTAACAAAAAATTCACAACACAAAATTCATAGTTGTTTTGTTTTAAACTTGATTTTACAATAACTCGTAAGTTTATAACTTATCAGGACCATTCAATTTGGTCTGAATTAATGAATGTCATGAGTCTCAAAATGGTAAGTCAACCAGAATGCCTTTTTCATATTTACCATGTGATTGTTGTGTAGCTGTCTTGGTAAAATGCAGCGAGTGTATTTTTTCATGCACACCTGGCTTCCTAGTAAGGTGTATTTTTATTTAATATTATACCAATAAACAGTCTTCCAAAATTAAGTGTGGGTTAGAGGTGCTGTCTACTTGCTCCTTAACCCAAACCCCAATACTTTAATTTCCGGAAGACCAAAATACATCAATATCCAAACATATAACAGAGAACATGTCCATCATCGTAAACAAACTTACATCTTTGGCCTGAAACAGCTTCGTCATGGCAAAAAATGCTTCTGTAGCTTCTGTTGCCCCAATCTGCTCACCCTAAAGTAAAAAGGAATCCCAAGATTTGTTTGCAGTACTTCTTAACTTCTATGATATTAAAAACAATGTAAAGAAATATGAGTATTCCTTCAACAAGGGATGAGGACTGACATTGTGATTATGTTATGTATTATCGGTACAATGTTATAAATAAACTATCATAACTAATCATAACCTTTTCACCATTATTATGTCCTTTGTATACTGTTACTTGGTGTTGTTTAAATCATTTGCATCTCTATGAAACACTTATGAATGAGAAATTAAATTACACCTCTAGAAATTTAAGAATTTCAGTTTTGAATCTAATGCATGATTAAGGATAACATCACACATAAACAGCTCTCAGTAGACATCAATCGCACTGTGTTAAAAAGTCAATTTAATCATGGTAATGAGCTCAATCACCCTACAACTGAATCTGAATTCAACTATCATTTGTTCAAGATCATTATTAGTGTTTAAAGGGAGCATTAAATTGATCATGAGTGTAAAAATCTTTTGGCTAGTTACCTGGTTGATCAGGTATAAGACCTTGGTGAGGATATGAGCACATTTTCTTGGATTTATAGGTGATTCGTTGAAGGTCCTTGCCTGTAAAAGACAAAGTTACAACTAAATGCAACAAACAGAAACTTATTTCACGAGGCAAGAAACAGCTAAATACTTTACAAATGCACATCTTAAAAGGTATAAAATCCTATGCTGGTAGCAAAGCAAAACAATTCTTATTTTTTAAATCGATTATGTCTCAATGCATTGATAACTAGGTACATGTAAAATCTTTAACAAGTTAAGAGTTAATAGTTAAGAACTGCATGTTTAACCACTTCTACAACAATTTGGGTGACACTGATAGTTGTTCTAGTCTAGTCTCTGTTTCGACAGTTAGAAAGACTACCCAGTATTCATAATAATACCTCTTGCAACACACTGCTTTTTTCTATATTGTGGAAAGGATTTCCCCCACCTGCAAGTAAAAAAAAAGCATTGTAATATCTTAAGTGGACAGACATCTTTCAGTCATGCATTTAGGACAAATACATACACACTGCATATACATAAACGCTTTGACCTCCAGGTATATTTTAGTTGCATCAACAGTGATAATGAAAGAGTATGCAGTGCTGTAAGTTATTATTTGGGTCTGTGTTTCCATTTTAATGGCTCATTCTGAGAAATATAACAGTACAAAGGTCCTGTGAGAGTAATTCATACAAATTCATGTACAAATGTGTTGTCATAAGATTATATTGATATTTCTACTCTGTGATCTATTGGCTGTAGAAAGATCATAAAGCACCTAACCTAACAAAAAGGCACAACTGCTGGAAAGAGGGACCCTCGAAAAAGCTACATAATTGTAGGGGTTTGGATCAATGTGTATCTTGTTCCAACAGAAAAAAGATAGAATATGGATATAACGCATGAACAAAAGCCGGTTGTCAAATCTTGGACAAGACTTCTGACCGGTTCCTACACTGTGCCAACGGCATCGGACGTCACATCTCTGAATTATTGCTATTATATTATTTGAATAACAGGAACGATTTTTACATATAATTGCCACTAGTTCAGTCGTTAATTTTCAATTTAAACGTTCGATTCCTGTGATAGTAAATACTTTTTTTAGAAAGATTGCGTCCAGGTCCGGATGTACCACTGAAAATGCAGGACTTCCCAGTGATATCGAGTATATTCTTATCAAAAACACCAAAAGGTAAACAATCTTAATGTCTTTATATACTAACCATCCTCTTCCTCTTTCTTGTCCCGTCGTAACATATGCATTTTGGGAGATTTTACGCCTTCAGATTACTGCCGGTTCTTCTCGGAAGTTTGGACACGTTCACTACTTTTTAGGCGCATGCGTTAAATTACACACCGGAAGTCAAATCAAGGACATGTTACTGTCAAAGAGTGGTTCGACGATTGATAGGACCACATATGATATGATTGGGTTGTTATATTTTTCGCTTTCACACATTCGATTTGTGTTTCTGAGTTTCATAAAGCTTTCAGTAAAAATGACACGAAAAACAACACGAGATCCCCCAATGGCGTGAAATACGATTAATGTTCAGAAAGCACCTTAAATTATATCATGGACTTCGAAGATGGAAAAGAATACGCCGGGGTTATACTAAACAGCTATGACTACATATTATACAGTTTACTGATTCGAGCTGACAACCTACATGTATAGTCGATGTTATTTTTAAAAAAGCGCCCATAAACCTGTTAAACGGTCATTTCACAACCAGACGCCAAAGAATTCTTTTTGTAAATCGGGAAGTCAAAATGCAATTGCCTAAAATTTCAAATGGATGAAAAAGGGTAGTATTTTAAAGTAATAACTTAAAATTCGTGTTCTAAATAGCTAAAGCATATTTTGATCTTCACTCAATTGAATTTGGCCAGATACATCCTTGTTTCTCTGTATAACTAGATATAGATGAAAATATTTTTTTTCGTCGGGATTGAAATGGAATTTGTTGACTTTGATGAACAGAATAAAGTATACATTTAATATATACCAACTTTTCTAATGTATATGTGAATTACAAGTCTGTTTATTTACTTTTTTCATTGTATAAAAATATGAGGATATTTCTTTTACAATACAAACCTGAAACAATGAACGAAAATGCAAACCCGAACTATACCAGCTCAAGATTTTAACAAACTATATTTTCTTTTGATTTTGACTGGGATGAGCGCGAAAGCATATCCCCACACTAATAAATTGCGTGCCCGAGTCACCATGAGGCGATTGCATGCGGGTCAATCTGTCCGAAGTGCAATGATATAGATGTATTAACCTTTTGTCAAGGGGAAGTAACTGGAGGATGGGAGAAAATAAAAAAAGGTTGTAAATATTGAGAAAAATAACATTATTAAAAAAACTCTTATATAAAGATATTTCTTATTTACATAAGATTTTTTAAAATAATATGATTTTGCTGTTTTATCTATGTTATAATTTATTTTCATATTTGACAAAATGTATTCCCTACTATTCTGATTAGCATTTACCCACGTTAGAATATTTTGGTAATACTTTATATTCCAATATCGTTCAAACACCGGTATCGCTTCTCGGCCTTTTGGCTAAGATCAAAGTGTAGTATCTGTTCTTATCAGCTTAATATCTGATACGTACCCCACCGGGGTACTTCGATATTAAACTGATTTTTGGACTTAGGTGAGATGTCAGGGGCTTGCTCCGCTCTTACCACGGGTTGGCCCGGTATTGCAGTACCTCCGGGAACGGCCCACTCTCCCTTGGGAGAGTAAAATAAACTTAACAATAGAAACTCAACCCTTACTTACCGGATAGACGATGAAAGAAGGTTCTTTCTCGGAACTATTTCTTATTTTTAAAAACGATAACGCCTTATGCTAATAATTTGTCTCTTTTTAATTATATTTTTTCAGTACTACAATTTAAATTTGACTATGGGATCATCTTGTTCTATAACTATTGTGAAGTCTGTCACGATATCTACTTTTCTGTATTTATTATGCCTAACTAAGCTAAAACAAAAAGAAAGAAAGGATTTAAGGAGAGTTCAATACGATTTCTAAATTTTGAACTTTCTCGTCTCGCAATTCCATAGGATATACTAATCTGTTCACATTCTGTTTTACAGAATGGCAGTTAGGACTATCGGTTAGAGCTACTTTGAATTAATAACAATTTTTGTCAGGATATAACAATTAATGCTCTGCGTTTCAGGAAAGGGGAAGCTGGAATATAAATGTTCATCCAATTACGCACCAAAATATTTAAAATGAAGAAAACATCATCAAAAACAGTTATTGTGTTATATATTTTAAATGTCATCAACAACAAGATAATTATTATCATATATTAAATGCAATAAGTTCGATTTTGGATGGATGTATATCAGTGATTAAAAAGACACGTATCACTGTATTGTCAATAACGGACAAGTCAAACCCAACAATATATCGCATATACAAGATCAAGATGATAACATACGTTGATCTGTGAATAAAAATGACAGAAACAATATGAATTAAGGGATTCTTTATTTTTCATTTGTTTTTTTGACGGGGATGAGCGCGAACGCAGATCCCCACACTAATAAATTACGTGCCCGATTCACCATTAGGCGATCGCAGGGGTCAATCTGTCCGAAGTGCAATGGACAGACCTCACCCTGGGGAAACCGCCATTTTGACCACGGTTCTCCCTGCACCAGGTAAGTATGACGGAACACCTATATTTCGTTACTTCTATACTGATTTTAAGGAATGCACCTGTGGTGTTTTACTGGAAATAATTGTAAATAAACCAATATATTATTAGAACCGGATTGATATTTCAATCATTTCAAAGCTAGGTTGAATGCAAGGATACTTTTTTTGATTCGCGAAGGCAAAATTTGATAATCCGGATATCTAAACGTATAAAAAAACTGAAAATATTTGTGTCGTTTATCCAATTAACAGAAGGGAAAACGTACCACGTACATCAACTGACGTATACACTACGTTTGTCATTGAGAAATTCTAAGTCTATGATGAATGCTTTTTCATTTAATATGTAAAAGTCCACATTTGTGTATAAATACATCATAGAATATCGGTAATGATGCATGGATTTTGTGTTACTCATTAAAGTACCTGAGACATCATTATAAATTGATTATCAGTGTTGGTTAAAATATTGTTAGAGTTAGCTCCCTTATTCCATAAAGCGAGATTGCTTTTTTTTTTTTTAAATGTGAAATATGATCAGTTAAATGTTCCTTTATACTTACCTGCAACAGGCAGGTATAACGAAACAAAACTTTTTATTTACTGCTGATTTAATAAATATTAAGATATGTTAATGGTAAATTAATATATTAATAATAATTCATATATTATATGATACGTGATATATGAATTATCTCAGTATACGCTATTATGAATTTAAGATACCATTATTACATATAGATGTTCTAAATTACTTTGCTGAAATAGATGAATCAATGCATTATTGACTTATCTACATGTAAGGAATATCAGGTGTTTGAAATATTCGATGTGTTTTTTTATATTTGTGTTCGATATTATCTTTATATTTAACCACTTTTGGTATTAAAAAAAATCATCATTTATGTTTATATTAATATATATATATTTATCGATATAATTTGTTTCGAGCACACATTTAAAAATCATCGAATATTGCAACACGCCACAGTATCGTCTACTATTTTGACTTATGATGGCACGATATATGGCAATGATAGGTTGTTCAGTACAAAGCTATCAGAACGTCGGTTATACGTTTGTCGAGTTTCTCCCTTTATGTGGATTTAAAAAATAATATTGTAATTACTATTTCCAGATGAAACTTTATTTGAATTATATTACGTGATTGTAAAGAGAGAGAAAAAGGGAAGCACGTGTAAAATAAATTCTTAATCTATATGCATATGTATCCGATGTTCGATTGTCTACATCTGACGTATTTACCGTTTCAGTGCTGGCGTACTTATGGCTCTTCACATGTATTAATTATAAATCCAAGGAAAAATAATAAAATATATCAAAATATGAATACCGTACTTGATCACGAAGCAGAATTTATATCAAGAAATAAATTGCTTATACTTTATTGTAGATCCAGTAACGTATATATCACGTCTCTGTGTAGATATAGTCGTATATCGGTGATAAACCTTATTTAAAGGGGAAGTAACTGTAGGTCGAGAGAGAATCAAAACAAAATATTAATATCAAAAATAGTATTATTTAAAAATCTATGACCTAAAGATATTTTTTATTTATATAAGATTATGTAAAATGATATAAAATTTCTATTTTATATATATTATAATTTGTAAACGATTGTTGTTTCAAATATTTTAAGATGTATTTTCTATTATTCTGATCAGCATGTACCTACGCTAGAATATTTTGGTTATAGTTTATAATGCAATGTTTCTCAGACTTCGGTATCGCTTCTCGGCCTTTTGGCTAAGATCAAAGTGTAGTATCTGTTCTTATCAGCTTAATATCTGATACGTACCCCACCGGGGTACTTCGATATTAAACTGATTTTTGGACTTAGGTGAGATGTCAGGGGCTTGCTCCGCTCTTGCCACGGGTTGGCCCGGTATTGCAGTACCTCCGGGAACGGCCCACTCTCCCTTGGGAGAGTAAAATAAACTTAACAATAGAAACTCAACCCTTACTTACCGGATAGACGATGAAAAATCATCCTAAGAACTGTTTCATTCTATGAAATAAAAATGCTAACGCCTTGAGTTGATAATTTGTTTTTTAATGTAATTTCTCCCTGATGCAATCCTAAGTTCATGTTTTTTTAAGCTTATCTAAATAAAAAAAGAATGGATTTAAGGAGAATTCAATTAGATTTCTAAATTTTTAATTTTCTCGTCTCGCAATTCCATAACATATGTTCATTTGTTTTAATTTCTGTTTTGCAATAATTACAGTTAGGACTATATCTTAGAGCTACTTCGAATTTATAAGATTTTTTTTGTTAGGATATAATGATTAATAATCTGCGTTTCAGAAAAGGGATGCTGGAATTGAACTTTCCAAGAAAAACATCTTCAAAAAGCCTATTCGTACATTTTTCATAGCACAAGGAATTATACTCTGATCCACCGTTTGCTAGGCGGTCTCTGTCAATATATGAATCCAAACTGGCTTACCAGTCTCCTGTTGTTGCAAATTACTTCCTAATTCACGTAAGCTTTAATGATTTTGAACCCAACCTCGCAATGTTTTTTGATAATAACATCCTTTATAATTTTGTCAACTATACAAAGTTTTGTTTTTTAATAAATGCAT